ATATCTGTGGAAAACTATGGCTCTGAGAGGTATTTATGTCAAGCCTGAATTCTGCTGTGCGTGGCGTGTTAGTGGAAGGAGCAGCTTCACAGACAAACTGGCTTTTCAGAAAGAAGCACACTGTAGAAACTATTTGGGCTCTTGTGTTTAATTAAAACAACGTTTCAATATAAAGCACAAACATTGCAACGCAAGCTAGAATCTCCCACGCCGCCGTGACAGTACGGTCCACATCTTCACCACTTTGTCAAAGGTTAAAACACAGCTGTACTCAATCAATAAACCAGGTGACCATGATATGTAACTCGTACTGACTTTAGGTGTGTGTAGCCTTCAGTCGTCAATGGGCAAATCAGTGCTCATGTATACAACACAATGCTGCATGTGACACAGAATCGAGGAGTGAAGAACCGGGAGAATAGTGGACAATTGGACTTATCACTGAGATAAAGGGAGTTTGTCTGATTGGTAAAGAGGAACTTCCTGCGTTGGAGATGGCTGATGCAAGACCTTGGTATTTGTATTGTATATCTCTGTGCACAGCATAATCATGATCAGTAAGTCACAATAAAGACAGAAGAACTGGCGATAAAATACACGGTACTGCCATCATTTTTCCCTGATCCATCCAGTTCTTTAATTCAGGTGTTCCAATCACTTCCATGGTCACAAGTGTATAAAATCAAACCACTAAGCATGCAGGCTGCTTCTACAAACATTTGTGAATGGGTCGCTCTCAGGAGCTTAGTGAATTCAAGCGTGGTACCGTGATAGGATGCAACAAGTCCAGTCATGAAATTTCTTCACCACTAAATATTCCACAGTCAGTTGTTAGTGGCATTATAGCAAAATGGAAGCAACGGGGAACAACAGCAACAAAGCAGTCGTCCACGGAAAAATCACAGAGCCAGCTGCAGTGAGATGTGTTCTCTGGCCTTGAGGCAACTCTTATTGTAATTTGTCAAGATATAAATAAAACTGAATTGAACAGAACTGCAACAACGAATCACGCTGCAGGGTTTGGTGGTTGCTGGGGGGACAGTATTTGTCTGCACTGTGCCAAGTATAAAGTTTGGTGGAAGGGGGATTATGGTGTGAGCTTGTGTTTTAGGAGTTGGGTTTGGCCCCTTAGTTCCAGTGAAAGGAACTCTTAATGTTTCAGCGTACCAAGACATTTGGGACGGCCCCTTCCTGTTCCAACATGACTGCGCACCAGCGCACAAAGTCCATAAAGACATGGATGACCAAGTTTGGTGTGAAAGAACTTCACAGAGTGCTGACCTCGACCTGACGGAACAGCTTTGGGACAAATTAGAGCAGCGAATCTCGTTCAACATCAGCATCTGACCTCACAAACAGACTTCAGGAAACATAGTCAGAAATTTCCATAAACACTCCTGCACAGTTTAGGCTGTTATAACTGCAAAGGGGTGAACATCATAATAATACCACTGGATTAAGAATGGAATGCACATCAAGTTCATATGTGTAGGTGAGCAATGGCAATATAGTGTATTTGCTCAGTGCAGTTGTATTGCTATTACCTATAATTTGACTGATTGTAGATGAATTGTTTCTTCTCTTGCCACAGCTTTAACCACTTTATCTATTTTATTTTAAAAATATTCATAAAATAATTGGAAATGAAGGGCAATCTACCTGCTCACCATTATTAATCCCTGTAGTGTGGCTTTATAGGACTGAAAAAACAGCATCCTGATGTGGTTACAAGTGCAGTGACACTATAATAATACACTGAAGTTGCAGAACAGCTACACAACCACTACAAAGTTTCACAAAATCAAAGGTCAGGTGTTTGTACATCAACACATGATTCCTTTTTAATCGTCATTTGACACAAAATTGAATTGGAGAAACATTGTTATTGTATTATTATTGTACAGCCACTTGCCTATAACACCTCCCACAAGGTATCTGTAAGACTGGCAGACACACCGCTGAAACATAACAGCTACACCCAAACGGCTTTTGTCTTTGTGGAAACCAATTAAACACAAAATTGGCAAGTGCATAAAGTTCAGTTTAATGTTTGTCAGATTTTTATTTTTTTTTTTTAAATGAAGAGATAACTCACTCACGTGCAATTCAGGGCATAGTGCATGTCCACTGTTTTGGATTTTTCCAGCCTGTTTTCATACACACATTTCAATTTTACACCTTAATTTACTAACTTTTTTATTTTATGCACCGTGCTTTTATTTTCTGTATCTGAATGTAATTGGAAAGCAATTTATATTGAAGGACAAAAGCTGATCATTTAGAAAAGGCCTGAGTAGCACACTCTCTACTGGCAATGGAGAAATACTGCCAGAGTGTTGGTGGAAACCAGTAAAGCTCATCCATCAGCAGTAACGTGGTTCACTAGAGCCTCTCCTGTTCCAGCACCATGGACAGAGTTCTGCACTGAGACAGCCCGTGCTTTCTCACGCACGATCTGATATCGTCGTGTTGGTGTTGTTCCCAGATCATCATACTAAATGTTGTTCCAGGATCAACATTGCAAGTGACCAATCAGAATGTTGTGACGTCATACTTTTGCGACTTCGGGAAAAACCGGCATAAAACAAAAAACTGTACTTAAGCTGCAAGAAACCGCCTCTGTCTGCCGATCAACGGACCCTGACCCTAACCCTAACCCTAACCATAACCTTTTGATAAACGGTAAGCAAAATTGATATTGTCCTTGCAACACTGGAATTTCATAAATGCACGAATGGCTTGGCGCACAAAAGAATAACGTCACAACAATGTGATTGGTCACTTGCAATGTTGAACCTGGAACAACATTTTCATGATGATCTGGGAACAACACCAACACGACGATATCAGATCATCCCTTTCTCACAGCTTAGCTGACACAGTCATATTTCTTTGTATCAGTTAATTATTAATCATTTGAATGTTTTTTTTTTAATCATCTTTATCTCTGTATTGCTTTACAGCAGAGTCATTACAGTTGTTTATTGCTGCTGTTGCTCCCTCTTTGCAAGCAGAATGAGGAAATGCCCTAATTTAAAATGCATGACCACAATATCAACGCCGAATGAACGTATATAGACTTCCTGTCATTTCCCCGCTCTTACTTCTTCTTTCATGTGTTGCAGGTAGCTTGTAAGGCAAGGATAAAGCAGAATATCAGAGCTGTGTGAAGCGTTGTGAAACTGCGTCTGAAGATGTCTGCTATTACTGTGTCCACTGTGGATTCAGGCAGTCTGTTTGTGAGGAAAAGCTGAGACTGTGTTCAGGCCTGTTTGGAAAAGTGGGCTGCAGGGGGTCTCCCCAGAAAGCGTTGAAGGGAAGTTATGACCTGAAAAGAAATGCAGTCAAGCAGGAAATCCTACTCCAGAAATAAAAAGGGATACTATCACTTGCGTGTAGCTGTTAGTGTTTTTTGATTAGAAAGTGAGGGCCGGTCAGTTTTCTTCCACTTTATCCATTTGATGACCAGTGTTGGGAAGGTTACTTTTAAAATGTATTCCATTACAGAATACAGAATACATGCCCCAAAATGTATTCTGTAACGTATTCCGTTA